GAGAGGAGAGGAAAAAAGGAGGAGGGGGCAGAGAAGGAAGCTGAGGGGAGAGGAGAGGAGAGAAGAGGCAGAGAAAAGAGAGAAACAGAGACAGACAACACACAGAGAGACAATGAGAAGGAGGTGAACAAGACAGAGACTGTGACAGAGAGAGAAAAAGAAACAGATTCAAAAAGAGAGATGGCCAGGCTCCTGCTCAGCCCTTCCTAGAGAGACTAGTTTTGGGGTTGATTTTGTTGCTTGCTGTTTTTTTCACATCTTCACATACAATCACTCAGTCTAGTGTGTCTCACACGCCTGCATGGAGCCATTGTGTGTGCACTGTTGTGGTTTGGTGTACCGTCTTCTTTTTTCATTTTTACTTTTCTGCATAAGCCTTCTTTTTCTCCCTTGTTGACCTTTGAGAACAGATTCTTACATATTTTTCCACAAGAATGAAAATCCCATACAGACCATGTCTGCCTGGACAGAGGATTTCTTTATCTGTCATTCCTTTTACAAATCAGAATCACACTGGGCATCCTTTTCTGCATCTTGTATTTTTTATTCAAGAATAACCACATGAGGCCAGGCACTGTGGCTCACACCTGTAATCCCAGCACTTTGGGAGACTGAGGCAGGTTGATCACTTGTGACCAGAAGCTTGAGACCAGCCTGGCCAACATGGTGAAACCCAGTCCTCTACCAAAAATACAAAAATGAGCTGGGCATGGTGGCGCGTGTCTGTAATCCCAGCTATTCAGACAGCTGAGGCACAAGTGGGAGGCTGAGGCAGGAGAATCGCTTGAACCTGGGAGGCAGAGGTTGCAGTGAGCTGAGATCGTGCCACTGCACTCCAGCCTGGGCAACAGAGCAGGACTCCATCTCAAAAAAAAAAAAAAAAAAGTAACAATGAAAATAAATAAATGAGGGAACAATAGCTTCTTCCTCAGGCACTGGGAGAGGACTCAGGTCACAAGGCAGGCGAAACACTTAGTAGGTAGTAAGCGCTCAATCTATAGGAGCTTAAAAATCCAATCGCACCCTCCATGAGGAAGAGTCTATCTCCTGCCTGCAGGTCTGAGATTTCAAAACACTGAGGAAATTTGGCTCCAATGGGACCTGGTATTTGGGGAGGGAGTTAAAAAGCAGGGGTGGAGGAGCAGTTTTTGGAGATCGCTCTCTCTAGGAGTTCCCTCCCCTGTTCCCAACTTCAGTTTCTCCATCTGGCCAGGCTCCTGC